AAAAAAAAAAAAAAAAGAATAATTTTTGTGATTGGTATTGAATATAAATATCTACCCTAGAAATAAACTTTATATCAAAGAGCACTTAAATAGATATTTATATTGTGAAATTTAAAGATCAGTGGAACAATGAACTTTCAGTTTGTTCTATGATTGCCATAGTAAGTCTCGAACTGCATGTTTTCTACAGGAAAGAAATCTGGTGAAGACAACTGTCAGAACCATTTTTAAAAATGTGCTTGTTTCTTAACTTCTTAGAGCCATTAATAATATACTCTATCCTATGTGGAGACAACATTTCTCACCCTTAAATTTGATCAGAGGTATCTTTGAGTGGTAGGGATGCCTACTAATAACAAAGAATAACTACTAAGTTAAAAAATACAGTTTAGGAAATGCCTAACAAGAAATTTCCCATTGCCAGAAATGGCTTTTAAAGTAAATAGAAAAATAAAGACTTTGTTGAAGTTTTTAAGATTGATAGTCTATAAAAATTATAACAGTAAAATCATGATTTTTTAAAAGTATACAATAGTCCCCCCCACTTATCCTTGGGGATACACTCCAAGACCCTCAGTGGATGCTTGAAACCATGGATAATAGCAAACCCTATATATACTTATGTTTTTTCTGATACCTATACACCTATGATAAAGCTTAATTTATAAATTTAGCACAGTAAGAAATTAGCAGGGAAACCTAATAAAATAGAACGATTATAACAATATATTGCAATAAAAGTAAAGTAAGGGCACTGTGATACTGCAATAGTCCATCTGGTAACTGAGAAAGCTCCTAAGTGACTAACGAAAGAGTAGTGTCTATTGTATGGATATGCTGGATAAATAGGGGATTCATGTCCCATGTGGGATGGAGCTGGATGGCATGAGATTTCATCATGCTCATTTGAATGGCATGCAATTTAAAACTTATGAATATTTCTGGAATTTTCTTTTTAATATTTTCAAATTGTTACCAGTGGAAGGTGTCCAGGTTCTTGGCGTTTTGAGCAAAGAATTGGACAAAACACGCACAGCAAGGAAAGAATGAGGCAACAAAAGCAGAAATTTACTGAAAACAAAAGTAGGTTCCACAGGGTGGGAGCCGCAGGAGCACAGGCACTCAAGACCCTTCTTACAGAATTTTCTAGGTTTAAATACCCTCTATAGGTTTCCCATTGGTTACTTGGTGTACACCCTATGTAAATGAAGTAGTAGCCCACAGTCAGTCTGATTGGTTGTGGAAAGCAACTAATTAGAGGCTGAAGTGAAGTTACAAAGTTACACTCCTATGCAAACTTCAATTTTCTGTATGCCATGCAGAAGAAAAGAGGGGTTTGCAAAGGGAGTAGCTTCTGGTCCTTTTGTTACTTAGGTGTGAAAAGTTTGGGATTTTCTTTCAGATTTAGCTATAGGAAGTCAGCACGAATAAGCCTTAGGTTCCCTGCCTCCAGACCCTATTCTCCTGTCTCAAGATCACATTGAACCCTAGGTAACTGAAACTGCCTACTGCATGTAAGGAAGAACTACTGTATTTTAATTACATTAACTCCTCTAAATTATTTTGGTCTTAAGGTAGAAGGGAAAATATGCATTTGAAGGGTCAGTTCACTGACACTACTATTTAATATGCATTTTTAGCCAGATCTAATAGTCACAAGAAAATAATCACTAACATCCAGGAACTGACCTGACCCAGCTATACCCCAGTGTTGGGAGATAGCTTGACATTCATAGCTAGGCTATGATTGTCCTATAGAACACCAACTAATCAGAGAAGGTCACTCTGTGACTGTGATGAAGTAAGGCCAAAAAAAAAAAAAAAGACCAGTTTATAATTTTGTCTAAGCAGAGACAAAAACAATGCCACTGTGCAAACCACAAAAACATTAGCTTTTATTATTAATAATTGTACTCAACAGTCTAGTAACATTGATATTGGCCAGGAAGCTTGGTAAGATAATCCAATCATTTACCTATGCAGAACAGACTGAAACAAAAACAAAGCAGGCACATAATAAATTTCAGCATAAAGACCATATATGGATGTGATCTAGTACAAGAAGGCCACTACTATTTAGTCCTACTTCACAGATTTGGTTCTTAGTTAACTACTTAATTAGATGGCATGTATTTTGAAATTTAATGTGAGTTTTTTTTTTAAGTACTCTTGGGAGTTAAACACAATTGTATACTGTGTCTGAAATGGACCTGGCTCCTCTTCTTACACTGTCAGCAATTAACTGAAAAAAATTGATAAATACTATGTAATTATCAGTTACTGTTAACCCAGGCAAACAAGTTAATTTCAAATGAAACATGAAATCAGGCCGGCATGGGTGGCTCATGCCTGTAATCCCAGCACTTTGGGAGGCCGAGGCAGGTGGATCCCCTAAGGTCAGGACCAGCCTGGCCAACATGGCAAAACCCCGTCTCTCATAAAAATACAAAAATTAGCGGTCATGGTGGTGCGCGCCTGTAATCCCAGCTACTCTGGAGGCTAAGAACGGAGAATCGCTTAGAGGAGGCAGAGGCTGCAGTGAGCAGAGATCGTTCCACTGCACTCCAGCCTGGGCAACAGATGGAGACCCTGACTCAAAAAAAAAAAAGGAAATCAGCCACGACTCAGATTTTTAATGCTAACAAGACGTTTTGCTTTCTAAATGCACATACTTTAAATACAAGGGTGTGAGGATTGATATTTTCACAATGTAAGTGGTGTTACGAAAATAATTACGAGAGCTTAATGGTAGAAAACTACGTTTAACTTGACATCGCTAGCAGCCAGCAGTCTAGCACATTATAGGTACTAAACGATGTTTTAAATAATTTCCCAAATCACAGAATTCCCTTCCAACAACATAATATACTCACCTCCCTGAAAAAAAAAAAAAAAAAGAAAAAAAAAAGGAAAAAATCCATAATACAGTCATAAACTCTTCATAGATCAAAAAAGCATTCAATTATTATGCTTGAAATAGACTTACTGGGTCTAAATTCACTTGTTTCAATTTTGTATTACTACCCTGGTGGCGATTTCACTTTTCATCATTAAGGACGTCCCCAAACTCAAGGACGTAAGCTTCCAATATTCGGATAAGCAGTGCAGACGCAGCCGGCCAGGATGCCAGCAGTGCCTGCCTACGTGAGCAGGGCTATGTTCCCCGCAGCAGCTACAGCGCATGCTCGAAGCGGGCGAGGCGGAGGCGCGGGGAGGCGCCGGCTTAGCTGCAGGGGTCTCGGCCAAGGTCGGCTGTACCTGGACCCTGGGGCGGCTTGGGCAACTGTTGGACGTGACTGCGTTCAGCTGCGTCGGGCTCGCTTCACAGACTTGCCCAAGTTCGGGTGTCTTAGCTGCCCCTTTGCCACCGCAGGCCTACCCCGCCCGCGTATGAGAAGTCTGTGACGGGTGGGGGGCGGAGCTAGCCAGCGCCGGGACCGCTGATTGGCTGCGTCGGCTTCCTTTTTCCCCTTCCTGGTGTCCCCTTTTAGGCGCGGAGCAGCAGGCAGCCAGCCAGCCGGGAGCCGGCCGTCACAGTCGGCTGGGTTGCGCTTTGCTTTTGCAGTGAGGCATTGACCTGCCCATATGACTTGGCGCTCTCCACCAGCAGGAATTTCCAGAAGGAGTTTGAATTTTTGTGATTTTTTTGAATATTTGGTTGGTGGAATATGTTGGCATTTATGTTTGCTTCCAAATCAGTGTCTTGCTCACAGCGTAGATGACTTTCTCTCCGAAACGCTAAGTATTCTCTCCCGCAGGAGCGCAAATCCTTGTTTTTCATGACAGATCTCGACGACAATATATGCAAAAGATATATAAAGATGATAACTAATATAGTTGTATTAAGCCTGATCATTTGCATTTCCTTAGCTTTCTGGATTATGTCAATGACTGCAAGCACCTACTATGGTAAGTATGAATCTTCTAAATTATTTCTCTGTAATCTAGTCAGTGGAATTAAAAAACATGCCATTGTGAAATCCAAAACTCTTATTATCTGATGGTTATGAATGATTGTGTTTACTTAACTTACATAGCCTGAATTTAACTTACTAACGTGATAATATAAATCGTGTCTTTAATAAATGCTTGCTGTGATAATTCGAGTTATACCTATTAATTTTTTTAATTGTTACTTTTTATAAGATAGGGTCTCTCTGTGTTACCAGGCTGGTCTCAAACCCTTAGGCTCAAGTGATCCTCCCACTTGGTTCTTCCAAAGTGCTAGGAATACAAGCCACCAGATCGGGCCTAGTTATGCCTCTTTCGAAATGTCTTTATATATTGTGTAACTATTCCATCTGCCTTGGTGAAAGATCAGTGAGGTGAACATAGCTTTGTACAGCAATTACAGTTATGCTTTTAATTTTGAAAAAGAATATTAGTAATGGGCCGGGCCTGGTAGCTCACACCTATAATCCCGACACTTTGGGAGGCCGAGGCGGGCAGATTACCTGAGGTTAGGAGTTCCAGACCATCCTGGCTAACATAGTGAAACCCTGTCTGTACTAAAAATACAAAACTAGCTGGGTGTGGTGGCGCATGCCTGTAATCCGAGCTACTTGGGAGGCTGAGGCAGGAGACTCACTTGAACCCTGGAGGCAGAGGTTGCAGTGAGCCAAGATCATGCCACTGCACTCCCACCTGGGCAACAGAGCAAGACTCCTTTCCAAAAAAGAAGAGAGAGAGTATTAGTAATGGTTTCACATGTTCTGTAAAAATAATGAGAATTAAAGACGGTACAATATTTACATTTGGAGAGCTGAAAGACTTATCTGCCATTTCGTTGCTTTAAAGGAATAGACTCCTTTTGAAGCCTAAAGCTACATTGCTTAAATATAAAGTACTCTGAACTCAGATCTTTAAGCTTTTGAGGTGCTTTAGAGCATAAGCCTCTGTGTACACAAACTTCCTTCTCCTATAAAAACAAAATACTGGTCAGTTCACAACAAAGGAAAAACTGAAAAGGAGAATGAGAAAGTGAACTGTCTTAAATGGTTATATCATAAGGGATTGCCATTTCAGACTGTGGTCTTTTTGCAAACAGACACATGAATAATTGGAAAGGGTTTTCCCGGGTACAGAAGCTCTCAGGGTTGTTCATAAAAATTCACAGTGGGAGATCCGAGTTTTAGGGGAGAGGTATACGAGAAGATTCTTGTTAGTGCCACTATTTACTATGACTTGAACTAAATAGAATAAATCAGGATTTGTAAACTGAAGTATCCCTCTGGGGGGCCAGTCACCTAATACAAATGAATGAAACTGCAAGTTTTTGTGTATTAGACATGTGGTAATAGTTTTCACTTCCAGAAATAGGATATTTCTCATCTTTTGTTGAATACTTGGCCCTTCTTGTCTTTTAGTTTTCCTTTTTTTTTTTTTTGAGACAGAGTTTTGCTCTTGTTGTCCAGGCTGGAGTGCAGTGGTGAGATCTTGGCTCATTTGCAACCTCTGCCTTCCAGTTTCAAGCGATTCTCTTGCCTCAGCCTCCCGAGTAGCTGCGATTGCAGGCACCTGCCACCATGCCTAGCTAATTTTTGTATTTTTAGTAGACATGGGGTTTCACCATGTTGGCCAGGTTGGTCTCAAACTCCTGACCCGTGAGCCACCAAACCCTGCCTATTTTCCCATTTTTGATAGAAACACACGCAGTAGTTCACAGTTTTCTTTACCATAAGGAAATCACTTAGCCTGGGCGTTTAGGCGTCTATCAGGAGTGACGGGAACTTTAAACAGGAAAGCCATGGCCTGATTAAAGGAAGGGACCTTTCTTTACCTTTAGTCAATTCTGCCATGTGGGGCAGAACTTGTCAATTTTAGAAACCAAGAATGTGGATTTTTATATGGTATCTCCTACTCTTTAAATATTGACTCACTCTGCTAGCCAATTGTCTGTGAGCTGGATGCAGCCTTTGGAATAATCAATTTCTAACCATTGAATAAGGCGTGCTCTAAAAGGCAGAGAGAGGAATAAGATCCCGTTAAAAAAAGAGTTTGTTCTGGTGGTCCTTGAAATTTAATATGTGCACCCTTTAAAAAACAGAACCAGAGATTCATTTCAAATATCTAGATATCCATTATTATCATAAATAGCAGTAAAAGATTTTTTATACTTGTACATAACTTATTTGGCCATTCCCCAATAAGACTGCTTCTCTGAAAATATGCATGCATGTCTTACCATAAATACAGTTATGCTCCACATAACGATGTTTTGATCAATGGTGGACCACACATACAACATTTTCCCATAAGATTATAATACCATATATTTACTGTACTTTTTCTATGTTTAGATACACAAATACCATTCTGTTATAATTGCCTGCAGTATTCAGTACAGTAACATGCTATACAGGTTTGTAGCCTAGGAGCAATAAGCTATAGAATATAGCTTAAGTGTATAGTAGGCCCTACCATCTAGGTTTGTGTAAGTACAGTCTGTGATGTTTGCATAACTGTGAAATCACCTAAGGATGCATTTCTCAAAACATATCCCTGTCTTTAAGTGATGCATGACTGTATTTGTCTTTGGTGACTTCATCTCAGTGTTTGTACTTATGACAATATTTTAATCCAAAAGCAGTTACAGAAGTTAACTGCCAAAACACAATTTGTGCTCCACCTTTATAATTTTTCAGGTAACTTACGGCCTATTTCTCCATGGCGTTGGCTGTTTTCTATTGTTGTTCCTGTTCTGATCGTCTCTAATGGCCTCAAAAAGAAAAGTCTAGATCACAGTGGGGCTCTAGGAGGTATGTTTTTATTTTGAATGTTTACAGTAACTAATAAGTGCTTGCTTATATAATTTAAATATATGTTTTCTAAATTCTAAATATATGAGACTGACTAAAAATCATAGTGTTATATATTTTAGACAATGATAAAGTTATATCTTGCTCAGCATTCCTATTATCAAAATTTCAGAAACTAATGTACACTTGCAGTGTAACATACAAATTAAACTTTTTAATTGATACAAAGTAGATTAATGGGGATAGATGAACCTTGACTATTCTGCTCCTTTAGTTTGATTAATTTAGCAGAAACCCTGGAGTACTCCTCCTAGATGTAAAATAAAGCATTTTGAGAGAATAACTCTTGGAAATTGCTGTTAGTAATCTCAAACAGAGCAGTCCAAACTTAGTGTTCTAGATTAATTTTCCAAAACTAAGTTGGGAACAGGCCATGTATTCATTCTTTTAGTAATTTTTTTTTTTTTTTGAGACAGTCTTGCTCTATTGTCCAGGCTGGTGTGCGGTGGCATGATCAGCTCACTGCAACCTCCTCCTCCTGGATTCAAGCGATTCTGGTGCCTCAGCCTCAGAGTAGCTGAGACTATAGGCCTGTGCCACCATGCTCAGCTAATTTTTTCTGGTATCTTTATTAAAGATGGGGTTTCACCATATTGGTCAGGCTGGTCTCAAACTCCTGGCCTCATGTGATCACCCGCCTGGGCCTCTCAAGATGCTGGGATTACAGGTGTGAGCTACCATGTCTGACCCATCTTTTAGCAAACTTTTATTGAACACTTACTACTATGTACCACTGTTCTAGAAACTTGGGATAGATCAGTAAACAAAAAGGACATGGTGTCATTTCTTATGGCACTTATATTCTTTAGGGCAGACAGATAGTAAATAAAATAGATATAACTTTTCAGGTATTCATACAATTTATGACAAAAATATTAAAAGATAATTAAGTGTTAAGTACATACGTTGGAAGATGTGGTGCATTCTTTTGTAGATGGTGTCAGGTGCTTTTCTCTAAGGAGGTCATTTTACATTGGTATCTAAAGAAACTAGTGATGAGATTTGACAGAATCATGTTCCAGGCTGACAGAATAACAGGTGCTAAAGTCCAGATATCTATAATCCTGGCTTACTTGAGAATAAGAATAGTAAGGCTCAATTTGACTAGAAAATAATAACAATAGGAAAAGAAGCGAGAGATAAAATTGAATAAATATGCTCTAGCAATGTGCTTTCATGGTCCCGTGGTTCTGTCAGTTTCGCAAAGGTCAAAACTTTTTTACTCTTTTTCTTAAAGAGGGAACCCCAAATTATATAAGCTTTGGGCTCCACAAAGCCTGGATCTATCCCTTATTTCATTTTTAGGTCATAGAGAGAATTAGATGAGATAATTTAAAGTTCTTACCTCATTGGCTGGATGCATAGCCAACATTTATTTAGTGCTTATTATTATTAGGCAGAGTTCTTCAAAATCATGCCAATTCTATTCATAATTAAGAAATATTGTTTAAGTTCTATTGTGAGATTTCTTTTTCTTTTGTGGGGTAGAGAATTAAAGTTAACTGGGCATATTGATATCTTTATATGAATTTTATTTTACCATATAATCAGTAAGTATTAGGAATGGTTATGTTTTACCTATTTAACAGGTGCTTATGTCACATTTACTATGTAGCAGGCACTGCTGTTATTTCTTTGGTAGTATTAATTCATTTATAACGTAATTTGAACAATCTCTGCTTGAATATAATAACAAGGAGTTATGTTTGCTAAAAAACAGTTCTTTCTGGGCTGGTCAGATGGCTCACACCTGTAATCCCAGCACTTTGGGAGGCCAAGGCAGAAGGATCACTTGAGTCCAAGAGTTTGAGACCAGCCTGGGCAATATAAATGAGACTTCACGTGATGGTGCACACCTGAAGTCTCAACTACACAGGAAGCTGATCGTGCCACTGCACTCAGCTTGGGCAACAGAGTGAGACCCTGTCTCAAAAATTTAAAAAAAAAACACTCTCAGATATACTTGCCTTAGAATTTATTATTCTTATAGAAAGAAACGTCAAGTCCTTCTTGAAATTCTGTCTTCCTTTGGCTTCTGTGCTGTATATTTTCCTGCTTCTCTGACTTTTATGATCTCTACTGTTGTTTCTTTCCTGCTGCAGTTTCCTCTCCTCCCTTCTAGCCCTTGAGCCTCTACTCCTCCCCTATATTGATTTAGAATTAAAAAATATGTATTTGGAACCAAATACTGCTACCTGTTATCAGTGCAAACTTGGGCAAGCCACGTAACTCCTAGGAGCCTCACTTTCTTAATCTCTTATGGAATATCTCCAATAGTAATACCTTATGGGCTTATTGATGAAGCTCAAACAAGATATTATATGAGGTAACACATCTGTGTAAACTATACAAAAATGTTCATTGTTAGTTATTATGTACTTTCAACCATATTTTTATACATGAATGACTATTAAATTGGCATTGCCACAAACATTTATTTCTTCGTATCTCTGCTCATATTACTCCTCCCCCTCTGACCTCTCTCCTACCTCATTACATATGCTGATTATTGTTATCATCTGCATTAATAGAGAAATACGTATCGAGATTTGAAGGAAGAATAGACAGTTCTGGGCCGAAAACAATGAAAACTGCCGAAAATTAAAACCAACACTTGCAGAGTAAAATTAAATGAAGTATTCCCACTTAGAAAGTTTCTGGTTCTAGGCTTCTTAGTGCTTTATCAAGTATTCTTATTGAATAGGATTCAAATCTAATAAGGTCATTTCTTTGCTGCTAGCCCTAACAAATGAAAATGATCAAATGTAGTAGCAGATGGAAGCAAGTCATTAACTTGCTTTCAGTAGTAACTGATAGTTCTAAAGTCAGGTAGCAAAAATATAATATGTATGTTTCTAAAAATTATCCTGGTGGTATAATATGCCGCTTGATCTCCTTGACCATAAAGGACATCTACTAGATTATAAACTCCTTGAGGACAGAGTATTTTATGCTTCTGTGTTCCATGTTTCTTTGAATAGTGCTAGATACATAATAGATGATTAAGAATATATGTTTGATTTTTTAAAACCTTTGCTTTTTTCCTAATTATTTCATTCTATAAAATGTTTATCTTATTTTTTATTCTTTTTTTTTTTTTTTTTTTTTTTTTTT